TCCTGCAATAAGCGGCTTGTGGATCATGGGTGGGATTCCCTGTAAAAGAGCAGGTGTAGCTTTGTTGGTGATTCTGAGAATCCACAGAAAAAGGGAAATGAGTATCACTGTTTTTCAGCACTTTGGGGACTAAAATGTGCGCAGACGACAACGCCCCCCTTTCACCCCCCCCCCCCCTCCCGTCCGGACAGTTGTGGCTGGCGTCGACTATAGGGTTGACCAAAAAAATATTGGCTAGTTATGACATCCTTAGAATTATTTTTTTAAAATATACATTCCCAAAAAAATTATCCAAAGCTGAGTGTTCTTTTTTTCTCTCAATATGCCCTGCAGACTTCTAGGAAAAGTCGCGCGGAGATCTTTGGCACCCAAATACCACGTTGTGTCCTGACAATGGCCCTCAACATGATGTCTAGTACGTGCTTTTGGCAGCAGCGGTGCTGCTGTCTTCCCAGGCACTGGTACTCAATGTAACAACAGACCAAGTGGAAGTAGGGAAAACAAGAAATGTTTCCCTAGAATGTCTCGACAACTTCCCCCATTTTTGGAAAATTCTGAGGTTGTAATGATAAGAGTGCTGAAAAAAGACCATGCTGGGTGGAACAGTTTTGCAGAGATCCGCGATTGCGACACGGAAGTACGGCCAAAACGTAAGGGTGTGCTCGCTGTGGCCAACAAGACCCTCACTGTAAACAGCTTTCTGCGGATCACGTGGCCCGTGGCGACTGACGATACCATAGGCACATTCAGGTGTGACGTAATTAGCCTGACGTCCTGGGAGGGTGTCAACTGGCAAAAAAGCCTACCCACGTTCATATTCCGTAAGAGTGACGTCACACTGCAGATCCTTAGCAGCATTGTGGAGGAGAACAAGAACGATTACCTCCAGCGACTGCGATCTCAGAGGGAAACCATTCTGGAGCACGTGACAACCACGGCGGAAGAAGGCAAGAGACAGTGTGCGCAGCAAAAAGAGAACCTTCTACAAAACGTCACCGCGACCGTCGAGTTTCTCTGCGAGAGAGTTTTGAGAGCAAGTGGAAGAGCCAGCTACAGGTAGGAATCTCTATTGTTGTTGTTGTTGTTGTCATTGTTGTTGTTGTTGGTGGTGGTAGTGGTGGTAGTGTTGTTGTTGTTGTTGTTGTTGTTGTTGTTGCTATTCTTGTTGTTGTCGTTATTGTCGTTGTTGTTGTGCCCTGCGGCCGTAGCTGTCTCATAGTATTGTTCCCACTGGCTTGTCTAGCTGTCTCAAAGTATTGTTCCTACTGGCTTGTCTAGCTGTCTCATAGTATTGTTCCCATTGGCTTGTCTAGCTGTCTCATAGAATTGTTCCCACTGGCTTGTCTAGCTGTCTCATAGAATTGTTCCCTAATATTGAGGAGTAATTAATATTTGCCAGGAAATATTGTCTTTTCCAGAAAGAGCAGCAAAATCTTTCCCCCACCAGAGCACCCCCCCCTTCCACCACCCTCTATTTCCATCCGAGGTTTGTGTAAGATTGAGAAGCCAAGAAAAGGAACCTCGTAACCTGACGTCATCTTCCACGCTATGTTTGTCCTTGACCTTGTCCACAGGGTCAGTGTTGACAGCGGTGAGGTTTGATACTGGCGAGGGAGGGAAAAGAATCATTAGGCGTACCTTGAGCCACGTCTCTGCGGATGTTTACTTGTCTATATCATTATACTGGCGTACAACAGACAGTAGCCACTGCAGTCACTAGCAACATCTATGACTTATCCCTTCTATTTGGACGTTAAAAGTCATGCTCAGCATATGATCGACGAATTATTGTCATTATCATTATTATTATTATTATTATTATTATTATTATTATTATTATTATTATTATTATTATTATTATTATTATTATTATTATTATTATTATTATTATTATTATTATTTTTAATATATTATTGTATAGTGTCCAGAAGGAATGACCATCTAAGTTGTAAGAGTGCGAGCAAACATTAAATTCTGCTCATATTTCTCCCACTTTCGCTGAGCTGGAAAGTTATTATATGTTATTTAAAGAGGCCAACTATGATCTCAGTGTTTCTAGTGAAGGTGGGACAAAATGATAGAAGAAGAAGAAGAAGAAGAAGAAGAAGAAGAAGAAGAAGAAGAAGAAGAAGAAGAAGAAGAAGAAGAAGAAGAAGAAGAAGAAGAAGAAGAAGAAGAAGAAGAAGAAGAAGAAGAAGAAGGAAGAAGAAGAAGAAGAAGAAGAAGAAGAAGAAGAAGAAGAAGAAGAAGAAGAAGAAGAAGAAGAAGAAGGAGGAGGAGGAGGAGGAGGAGGAGGAGGAGGAGGAGGAGAAACAAAAGCAGAAGAAGAAGAAGAGGAAGAAGAAGAAGAAGAAGAAGAAGAAGAAGAAGAAGAAGAAGAAGAAGAAGAAGAAGAAGAAGAAGAAGAAGAAGAAGAAGAAGAAGAAGAAGAAGGAGCTGTTTTATTGGCTCGGTTCTTTACCAAAATGGGAATTAAAATTGGAAACCTTCTCCTGGCAAGTAAAATTGCAGACTTGAAAGAAGAAAGAACCCATGCTATTACAACCTTCCTTTCCGCCACAGAGCGTGAGGTCGATGAAAAAAGCCAAGGGAGTCTAAGAAACAATTAATCTCCAGGCGACTGACAACACCTACAGGCTTTCCTTTTGTCACGTTATTGACGTTGTTTTAACAAAGAAATGTTATGAAGCAAAAAAGATTGCTAATTTTGGTTTTTAAAAAGCCCCCCCCCCCCACCCCCCACGCCACAGTCACCCACCTTCTTGAACTATTTGATCTATTGCACGATATCCGGGTGAGCCTAGGGGTCACAGTGAGAAGTAGACATGTCTCTCGGGAATAGCAAACTTTCTCTGATTGTCGTTATAATAATCTTCTAAACTCTTATAAGTGACGTCACTTTCCAGGTCCTGAGCCACACAGTAGACCAGAACAAGAGAGAGTGTCCACATCAGATGCTGTCCCAGAAACGCCAGATTCTGGAAAATGTGGAGACGATCATGGAGCAGAACAAACTAGCGTCTGTACAACTGGAAGAACGCATTCTTGGCAACGTCACTGCGACTTTTGAACAAAATGAACTGAAGTTATCACAACTGGAAGAACGC